TTCTTGGCTGATAGGAGTTTGGAAAGTGACCCTCTTTCAAGAGATTTTGGGGACAAATCAATACGTTTGGATTCTGCCCTTGGCCAGCTGAGCTGGCCAGCCAGCCAGAACTTCCAGTCCTGAAGCTGTTGGTTTGAAGCAGACTTTATAGTGTCATAATATTGTTCTGAACCTCAAGACTCTTTATGTTGTTATTTAGCCTGAACTAGGCGGAACATTTATATCTGATTTGAACTTGTACAGGGAAAAGCACATATTAGTCATCTGTGCCCTGGCAGCCTGTGCTCTGCGCCTCTGCAGTTAACTTCATGCAGTTTTGGTAGTCAAAACAACCTCAAGGTTGCATTTTAAGCTGGTGTTTTAGAACTGTGAATTCCGTTTTAACAAATTTAATTGCCATTATCTTTGTCTGCTCTCTTTCAGCACTGCGGCGTCAATCACTTGGGCTTTGTTTTGAAACTGTTAGGGTTGTTTCTCTATGAGAGATCTTGGTTTACTTGGCCTTTAAGAAGTTTAGGGTGAGCCAATTCTTGAACTGACACACGCAGTGAGTATTTAATCTGGCAGTGGTGCTTGTGTATCTTCCAGCAGAAGGCAGTGTGTTGAGGAATTAACTCTGTCACCAATTCTGAAGGGGCTGCATAACACGGTGAAATATTTGAGAAGCTTTCGCTCTTTTAAAGTAACTTATGTTGATTTATTTAAAGTGGCTGCTCATCTAGCCACAGTCATTTCATTATTGTACATGCACACTGGTAACCTCTGAATAGGCTTGAACAAGGAAAATCCAATGAAAAATTCGTTTTACAGAGTGTTCTGATTTGCTGAATAGCGTTAAAAACATCAAGGACTTTATACAGTTCAACTTCAGCAATTCTTGCCAGCCAAGCAGTTTATCGTAAATGTGCTATGATTCATATGTTTTAAGCTAAATATTTGAAGTTAAACAATGGATACTAAAAGACCTAAAGTTTTTATTGGAAGTGAGAAGATCAAAACTTGAGTAATCTTTTTTTTTTTTTGACTTGTTAAAATAATTATTTTGATTTTTTTTGTCTTAGTTGAATAAAAGGATAATATGGATCACTGTAGCTTGATCATTATTCCTTGGTAATGATACTGCTAATAGCAGGACTTAGAAATTTTCCTCGGGTAAGAGGAGAAAACCTGCAGTTGCATCAAAGGTGAACTCTTTGTGAGAGTGGAGTTCTTGCTTCTCTGGTCTTCGCGATATCTCACGAATACTTTGTAGCTTTCTATATATATGAAATGGCACAGATTTACACTTTAGTCTCATTTACATTTCATCTTTTTTTTTTCCAATCTATTGAACTTGACCTGTTTAAAATGTCACTCCTTGTCCATGAAACCTGTCTAGTTTATGCTGGGAATTTTAAATGCTGCTTTTATTTAAAAGCATATTGGTGTGTAGGACAGGATGGCCGCAGGTCCTGGGGAGCCGGAATCTCCTGGTGGAAGCAAAGCCCGGGAAGGTGCAGGCTCTCCAGATGGAGCTGTGCAGTTCGGAGCTTCCCAACTGTATTTTGCCCCTTAGTGTCTTTGATCTGGATGGCTGCAGAAATTCCTGGCTCCGTGCCTGGCAGGAGGAAGCACTCGCCTGCTCTGGCAGTGTTCATGTACCATGCTTAGGAGCCTGTAAGGCCATTGGAATTAATTGTGCTTCTTTTAAAGCATGCAATAATAAAGAAATCTTTGCAGAAACTCCTGGCTGTCTGTCTTGGGAAAGGACCATGAAGGGGGAGGCACAGTGTTGCATTTAAAGCATTTTTCTGGGCTTGTTCAGGAATGGGATGGTCCTGCTCCTCCCGTGCCGGGGATGGAGAGGAAATGCGTGGCTGTCTTGGTGATCCCTAAGCAGATGCTCTGTTCTTTGCAGTGTGAAAACTGCCTTAGAGATACCCGTCCATGGACTAGTTAGAGGATACTGGGGTTGGAAGGCCCGGGCACAATGTGCTGCTGGCTGTTTATAGCTTACAAAAAGCAGACGGGAAGGAAGACAGAAAAAGCCATTTCGTGACTCAAGACAGGGTATGAAATGTGCTGCCATGATTTACAGGTTCAGATTTCCTGCTTGGGTAAGATGTGAGCCAAAGAAGCGGGCTGGCATGCGATGCGTGTTCTGAGAGTCCAAATAGGTTGGGATGATTAACCTGATCAGCTGCCTTTGAGGAAGCTTTCGTTCTTGTACTGTGTGGTAATGCTCTAGGACTTCTATTTAAATATTTCCCAAGAAAACGAATGAAAGAAATGGCCTATTGAGCGTTTGAGGAGACGACGTAACTTTTGATGAGCTTGTTTGTGACAGCGTTAGGACTCAGAAGTTTTGGTCAGCGATTGTCAAACGTCTTTTTATTGCATTAGTACCTTTGTCACGGAAGGAATATTAGTAACGTGGCAGATGGAAGAGGTCCATTTGTATCCAGCCTTCACCTTCTTACTGCTATCTACAGTGAGAAAAGTTATAGCTGGGTTGCACTCATCAGCGGGGGGACAAAGATGCTCATCTGGTAACTTAATATAGAGCAGGAATCGTCATCACCCAGACTGACATTTCCCGATTTCTATTTCAGTTTCTATTTCAGTTCAGTTCATATTCTAGATCAGAATGGAAACTTTTTCCTCCTGAGCTTTTTTTCCAGACTTGGTTGGCCGGCAGTAGGAAGCAAAAGGTTAACTCGGTGCAGAGCAGGACCCGTGGGACTTGTACAGAGAAGGTGAATGTGTTCCCAAAGGGGCCAGAGAAGCCTCCTTAGGTTGCAGGCTGCCTTGCACGACCCACAGCGATGAACTCGAGGAGCTTCCTTTGCTGTCCTTCTAAGAAAGCAGCACGGACAAAGCAGGTGTCTAAAAGGTTGTGCACTATTTTTGGGAGAAATCTGATTAATGTCGATAGGCTGTCCGGAATCTGGCTGTAGCCTCCTGCCAGATTATAGTTCATGCCAAGGTCAGCTCTAAAGCGGCCGTCTTGGTTTCAGAGAGCGCCCGATGTGAAGGGCGTTTGTAGATGAGGCAAACTTCATTCTACCACCTCGGTCAAGTTTTTGTGTGTTTTTTAGAACCAGGATCCTTTCTAAAGATACTACTCTTTAGCACAGTCCGACCTCTGAAATTGGCTCTCTGTGCCTTTAGCTTGAACAAATTTTGAGCTTTATTTTGCTGTAAAACCCTATGCCCCAAGTTATTAGCTCCTCAGAGGCTGAGGATTGAGGAGATTCTTACATTCTTGGAAAAAAAAATCAATTTTTTTTTCCTTGGGCAGATTGCTGTCATAGGTAACACCTGTTTTCACATAGTGTATTAATTCTGATGTCAAAAGAGATTGGGGAAGTTTGGAATATTTTGGCCAAACAGGCAGCAGAAAAGCATTTCCTCTTGGTGGTTGGGCAAAGCAAATGGAAAGCAGAGCCCCAGGTGAGCTGGTGATACTTGCTACAAAGAGCCTTGTAATGGCAGAATTAGCCCAGTTTTCCTTCTTAGCTGTCAGTTATCCTGATTTTTCATTACCTATTTGCTTTAAGATTCGGAGCGTCTTTTGTTCAATACTTTGTGCAATAAAAAATATATATATGGAAGTTCATAATTTTGTGATTGTACACTGTATTATTTTATCAGTCTGGCTTCTAGATGAAACTTCTTTATCTTTTTGATTAAAAAAAACATCCGTAGCTCTTCTATGGGGATTTATGTCTCTCCATTCTGTATATGCCTTTTTTGCAGTTAATTTGTCTAATTTTTTCCCCCCTTTAATCTCCTGGAAATATCTTATTTCAGCCTGCTGAGCATCTTCCACACACCCGCGTCCCCCCATAACCACAGGAGCCAGAATTTCACCAGAAACCTCCCAACTTAAGGACCGAAGATCCTCGGAGCACTCGGATACCCGGATTGTCGGGGCAGGATCTGCTCCTCCTGCCTCCGCTCGGGGGCTCTTTTGCAGCAGCTGCTTTTCCTCATCTCCACCCAGCAGGGCCACCAAAGCCCTGATCGGAGCGGCTGGTCCTGCTGCTCCGCGTTGCCCGTGGCCCTCCCGGCTGCACAGGCTCCTGCTCCGAGCATTCCCACTTTGGCAGTTGTTGTCTAACCCTCTGCTAGCCCAGCTGCTGTGAATAACGAAGTGAAAATCGGCTGGGCTGGAGACAGTTCTCATTTTCTTGCTTGGCAGGAGCTGTGAGCAACAAACTACTCTTGCAAGATGTGTGGGTCCCGGCGTTGGGTTGGTTTGTGTGGTTTTTGAACACTTCTGAAAAATAGAAGTTTTATTTTTGTTTCTACAGCAAGTGACGTTACCAAACCAAAAGCATCATCCTGCCAGTGATGGCTTGAGGAAAATTTGAGACAGGCAGTAGTGGGGAAGAGCCTCTTTATACTGTTTAGAGTTGAAAGGAAAAAAATCCCTTCTTTTAATGGACTAATGGAAGGTTAATGCAATGGATCCCCAAGAAACTCCCCAGTAGTTGTTCTCTAGTGAAGTCAGTCTCCTCATCAGGCTCCGAGCAATGGATTTTTACCTTCTTTCTGGTGGCTTAGCTGGTTTTTGAAGCATTACACAGGAGCTGATGGTAGAAGCTATCTTAAAAATGCTTAGTGTTTTTCTTAATGTTTTTCATCCAGGTGGTGTAGCTACTGAATGCAATAACTGTGCAAGAACTCAGTTAAAAGTCTTATTTTGGTAGCCGTTTCGGTTGCTCTAACCCCTTTTTTTTCTTTTCTTTTCTTCCAGGGGTGGCAGATGGTGTCGGCGGCTGGCGGGACTATGGGGTTGACCCTTCTCAGTTCTCAGGGACTCTCATGCGAACGTGCGAGCGCTTGGTGAAGGAAGGACGGTTCGTCCCGAGCAACCCCGTGGGGATCCTCACCGCAGGGTACTGCGAGCTGCTGCAGAACAAAGTCCCCTTGCTGGGTAAGGCACCAACGAGGGCCGCGGGGCCTGGACATGTGCTTTTTAGGGGTGGCTTAACTCTGTGATTTTGCTTCTAGGATAAATTTAAGCGTTTATCTTTAACAGAAACGGAGATGGCGCTTTTGGGAGCATCTTATTTTCGTTTGTCTTGACTCAGGAATGCAGGAATCCTTGTTTACTTAAAAAGGAAAGCTAACTGCTTTTTGTCTTTGAAAGGAGGTAATTCAGCTTTGCTTGCAGAAAGTCGGCAAAATAAGCTTTGCTCCAGAATGTTATTTTGTGCATGCTTGTACAGGAGTGCTCTTTCTTTCTCACTCTGCCCGTATATTTAAATGGGCACATAAACAATCATTTTGCATTTGAAAACTGTTAGGAGCTCCTGGCGGCTGTTTCAGCTGTCCAAACAAAATTATTTTTGCTGATAATAGTGATGGGATGCAGTTCTGCTCATTACTGCTCTTGTTGCCTTTCCTGTCCAACAAACTTAAAACCTAATTCCCTGACATAAAGTAGCTCATATTATACAGACACTGACATTTTATTACTTTTATAAATGATGTGGAGGGGGATTGTTAGAGTTTTTTGGGGGCATTGGCAAACTCGGGAATGCCCAGTGTATTCCATGCCAAGCGTAACTCCAGGCACCATGTCCAGCTGCCTTGGAAATTGTGAGCACATTGATAGGATGGCAGAATTTGGGCTCAGCTGACAACTTGCAAACAGAGCAGGTTTCTGAAGGGCCTCTGATGCACCGAGTTCCCCCAACGATGCTCCTGCTTCTCACCTGACCTTAAACCACGGTGCCAGGAGAGGGCCGTGCGGTCTATGTTTATCTTGTCTGCTGAGCCTGGGAACAGATGCTCTCACATTATATGCCCAAAGAACAGGCTCAAACCTCAGAGGTGACCTCAAGTGTTGCTAAAACAGCGCTGCCCAGTAGTGCCAGGAGCGTTTTGTGTGTTTGATAGCAGGGAACCTGCGCAGAGCGCGCGGCCGGCGGGCCTGACCTCTGCGGCGCGCGAAGCAGCGGGTGCTGAGTCACAAGATCTGCATTCCACACGTGGCCTCCTGGGCACGCTGTGCTGATACAGTTACAATTGGAAACTAGTGATCCTCAGTCTTTCTCCTTTGTCCAAGAACGGTATTTTTAGCAGTAGGAAAAAGCCCTTGAGTTAACCCAGCAGTGAATACTTAAGATTTACTGGGAATAAAGTGAAGAGAGAGGACTTCATTGGGAAGAATTCATTGAACATTAACTTCTCCTTCTTGTGCTCTAAGGCTTGGTACTTTGTTTATCAGACTTGAATCTACCAAATATTTAACATAAACTGAAGTGGGAGGAAGTTGAGGTGTTTCGTTAAGGACTGTTCTTGTATTACAGAACAATCTTGGGCTCTGTCATGTGAAACGTTAAGCTTTTTTTGTTTTCAAGATAGTGTTTTGACTTATTCTCTAAGAGTAGAGAGGTTTCTTCTATGCCCTTAAGAACATAACAAGTGCAAGTGATTTGCAGGGAATTCCTATGCTAGAAGAAGTGAAGCATCTGCAATGGGTGATGCCTGGGGTCAGCTGAGCCTCATCGTAGCCCATCGCAAGTCTGTGCTCAGAAACCTCTGCTAGAGCCTCAGGGCAAAAATTTAGTTATACTTTTACCCATGATACGGGGGCTTCAGCTGCAGTCGGGAAGAAACGCTCCAGCCACGTGTTTTTCAGGATCGAAAGGGTTTTGGGACGCGTTGCCATCCTGTCGGCAGGAATTAGGGGATTTATGTTTTCTGTGAAGGACTTGGCCTGTGCGTGAGTGTCCTTGTGACACAGTAATTGTTGTGGCTTGCCACCGAGCACAGTTGGTGGCTAAATCCCCATGAATCAGGAATTCCTTGGTGTCCTCAAGCATGACCGGAATAATTGAGAGCACTGTAGACTTGTAGAAATGTTTTCCATTCTGTCTCGCTTTAGTGTTTTAACTAATCTGGAGTAGTGTTTGTCTCTGAAATACCTTTTCTTTCTGCTTATGGAGGTAATATCTTGAACCCAAGTCAGAAATTTTTCTTGCCATAGAAGATGGGTAGTGATATTTACTAAAAAACAAACAAAAAAACCCCACCTTCTTCCTGGTTAAATAGAAGTGTGTTAAACGTGATTGACATTGTCACAGGTTGTAGCTTGGCATTCTGCTGGCTTTTTTAGGTATAGCATCGTCTGTTGTTACTTAACTGGACTGAGCTCTAGAGAAGTGCATTACATCCGAATAAACTGTGTTCCTTTGAAATGTTCAGGCCTCTCTTGTTGAGACAGTTTGAGTCATGTGCTGGAGAAAAGCGTGTTCATGTTCTGACATGAATAGTGGAACAATAGCTCAGAACCACCTGCAGTTACTTACTGGACAGGGGTTCCTTACAGCTGCTGAATGGGAAGGTGTGGAAGACGCCTAGCACAGGACGGTGCTGGGGGATTCGGTTCTTCTCATGCTCTCCAGGTTACTGCATCCTGTGTTTTCTGCAAGTCCAGTCTCCTATAGCAGGATGTACTGACACATCTGGGGTGGAAAATGACAAATAAGCAGGAATAAAACAGGTATTTGTCAGCCTAATGTGTTTACATGGATCAGAGCAGGAAAAGTTTTATATAAAATCGTAATGAGTGTTATAAAGAAGTTTTGTTTAAGTGTATTTTTCTGACATTATTGAGTATTTCCATATAGAATAAGCAGTTTTATAAGGCTCACTCCAGTTACCATTTTCTCTTTCCTTCCAGGAAGCAGCACAGCTTGTATAGTAGTTCTAGACAGAACAAGTCATCGTTTACACACAGCCAACTTGGGAGATTCTGGATTTTTGGTGGTCCGAGGGGGAGAGGTGGTCCATCGGTCGGACGAACAGCAGCATTACTTCAACACTCCCTTCCAGCTGTCAATAGCTCCACCAGAAGCAGAAGGAGTTGTCTTAAGTGACAGGTAAGATGAGAGAGGATCTCAAGTCTCTTAAATCTTTAATCTGTAGCTGATCAACTCCCAAAGAGTTTTCTTGGATAACTTTTCTTGGATAGTGCAGCGGGGGGTGCAGGCTTTAAGTGAAGTATCCAGTCAATGCCTTGTACCCGTCCCTGTCTGTGTTTAAGGTAATGTGGATATTTCTCATCCTGTTCTAACCAAATTTTGCACACTGTTACTCTGTGTTTGGGTTAACTGTTACAGTAAGGACACATTCCCACAGACTCTGTGGTGCCCCCGTCGCGTGTCCTGGCCCACGGAGGAGCTTTGCTCGCTGTGGTGGTTGCAGTGAAGGCTCCAGCTGTGGGATGGACTGTCCTGCACGAGTCCGCTCTTACCAAGCGCTTCCATCCCGGTCCCCGTCCGTGCTCCCTCGCGCCCGGTTGGGAATACCCTAATTTAGATATCTTGGCAGCAAGATAGCGAGTGCTTGAAGAACAGAGCAGGGGAACATGTGACTGCAGCTTGTCTGGGCTGTGCTTCCAGCAGCACATTGTGCTGGAGCAAAACGAGCACGCTCCGTCTGGCAGAACTCCGAGCTGGGAAGGAGTGTTGGGAAAGGACGGGCTGTGCGCAGCAATGGGCTGTTCCAGAGGCAGGCTGGTACTTGTGTCTTCCTTAAGCAAGCTACGACGTCAGGCAAATCACTCCTGAATTTGTGAAATCTCCCTAATAAAATGTTATGTATATATAAAAAACAAATGTGTCAAAACTTAGCTCTCAGATCGACGTTTATGCTCCCATTAGTGTTGTCCCTCTTATGAATACGAAAATAAAAAGATGTTTTCAAGGAGTTACTGCGTAGTATACAGGGAATGGAATAGGAATCTTACTGATTTTTCTTTTTTCATTTAAGGTTTTAAATCCCTAGCCTGATGCAGATAGATTTATAATG